AAGCAGGCTAGGTTCCCAGAACTGCAAGTGCTCCAGTCTCTAAGGAAGGGCTTTTGGCCAAGATCGCCATTGGCCTGTCACTACAGAAACAGAGCCAACACATCAACACCTTGAGGCCAGGTGTTTACAACCAGTGTTCTCACCAAATGCTTCCTATAAACTATTACACATGCCAAGCCCAGTGGGTGAAGTAAAGGGACTTCTCTCAGTAGGTCCCCAACTACTCCCCAGATCCTCGCATCACATTTACACACAAATTCTTAGAGAAATGTCTGATTTCTCCCACACAGAACTGGAGACTTTGCTGCCAAATGAGATCACTGTGAGAGATAATACAGTTTGGGTCATGCCCTTCTGAGGACTCCCCTTCTGAGGACACCCCACTCAATCAGGTTGCTTATCACAGCAGTGCACTCTCCAGAGTGGCAGCAGCCCTAGGGCCCCCCAGCATCCCAGACAGGCCAGCTTTATAAGTTGAGCTGGTGAACTTGAAACTCAGAGTTCCTCACGGAAGAGCTACATGAAAAGCAGCTGCAACGTGAAGAAGGGCAGCTAACAGTCAACTTCCCCAAGTTAGGACACCCAGGCCTTCAGACATAGTATGAGGCGTGCGCACGCACGAGCGCACACACACACAACCCACATACACACGCATACATACACACACGCACACACAAATACACACACACACCACACACATCACACACACACATACACACACACACATACACACACCACACACACACGCACCACACACCACACACACACAAACCACACACACACCACACACACACAAACCACACACACATACCACACACACACACACACTACACACACCACACACACCACACACACACACACACACACACCACAACACACACACACACCACACACACACACACACACACACACACATACACACAAACCACACACACACACATACACACCATGGGTATTATCTATCTATCTAACATCTATCTGCATGTCTAAAGAGCTTAGCATTACGTTCTTTAACAGTCTGATCACCTTAAGTTCATTCCTATTACTTCTATTCCATAATTTTCTAGGGGATCATTAAGTATGAATTATTAGTACTTAAAAACGACAGGAAGGAACAAACACTTAAGTTTTTTACATTTCACAAAGTATATTTGAATGTTATTAGTTATATATTCACTCATTTGTGTGTGTGTGTGTGTTTATAATGCTATGAAATTTACATCACATCCTTCGCTTTGGCTGACAACCACAACAGTCAAGATGCATAACTGTTCCACTCCCACAGGGCTCCTCTGTTTCCCGCTTAAAGCCATAACCACGCCTCTTTTCCCAGATGCTTACCTCTGGTAAATATTACTCTTTTTCCATCTCTAGGATTTTATTATTTTAAGAATATTTGAGTGAATGTATACATCATGTAACCTTTTGAGAATTGCTGTTTTTTTTTCACATAACATAATTTTGTGGTGGTCCATTCACTTTGTGCAAACCCTTTTAATGTTGTCTAATTATGGTAAAATATTCTTGATGTGCTCATAGAAATGGTAACTCCAACTCCCATGCATATCTGCCTTCTGCTTGTATTTCTTTATGAAAGCCTAGTCTCCATTGTCCTTCCATGCCAAATCTGATAAATTACAGCACATGCTTATGGTAGAATTCTGAAGATCATTAAGGAGGATGTTTTGAAAGATTACTTAATATAATTTAAAACATTCAAATTGTGGTAAAAACATATATAAAGCATGACAACATTTTCATCATTTATTTAAAGACAGAAAACTATGAAACAGAATATTAAATCTGTTTACATATGGCTGGTGAAAGTACAGATGATGTTTATTCTCTTGTTTTACTTTTCAAAATAGTCTCCAAATGTTACGGATTACTGACTGAGGAATCTTAAAATTCTACTTTGAAAAGCTGACAAGACACACGCATGTGCAATTCTCAATTTGTGATATAATGGCGTTTTTTCTTTTCAGCATTTTTGGTCAGACACTAAAGGGGGCTGGATATATAATTAGCAGTTTTTTATTGTTATAGCTTTACATTTGATCATATCCCTTATAAAATCTCTCTTGAAGAAAACCCCAATAATAATCCTTGTCCTCACAGCACTGACATACTTACATAGAAGACACAGACACCCAATAGTCATATGTATCTATAAAACAGTTCACCAGGCTGGGCGCGGTGTCTCACTCCTGTAATCCCAGCACTTTCGGAGACTGAAGCGGGTGGATCAGGAGGTCAGGAGTTTAAGACCAGTCTGGCCAAGGTGGGGAAACCCTGTCTCTATTAAAAATACAAAAATTAGCCAGGTGTAGTTGTGGGTGCCTGTAATCCCACCTCCTCGAGAGGCTGAGGCACAGAATTGCTTAAACTCAGGAGGCAGAGGTTGCAGTGAGCCAAGATCATGCCACTGCACTCCAGCCTGGGTGACAGAGTGAGACTCCATGTCAAAAGAAAAAATAATTCATCAAAATTGGCAGATCATACTAGGGTAAAAAAAAAAATCAGAAATGAGTTTGTCTATTATCCAAGAGCCAGCTGGATAGAAATCATAAAATTGGCCACAATATGATGAAATTTGAAGAAATTGATTATTATTAGAGAGGTGATAAAAATAATAGAACATAGTGATAATAATAGTACCTACCACTAAATTGTCATGAGAAAAACATTAAATCGGAAACTGCATACGAAGTACTTAGCACGTGCTACAGACAGCACTCAAAATAGTAAAGAAAACACACGGCTAACCGAAGAGACAGACGCAAAATATCGAGTTCGAGTTGTTCACAGTGAGAAAGTTATTTGCTTCACCTTTAAAATCGTTTATTTTTTCTTTATTTTAAGTGTGTGCCAGGAGTTTTGGGGACAAAACAAATGCAAATATACAATTTGAATGAAGTGTGTAGAAATAATAAGATGGGCTGACCCTGACGCTTATTCTTATGTAATGAAATGAGAGTTAATCTAAGCAGAAATTGAGATCAGTACTTAGTTGTTTGTGCTTTCTAAGACTTTCCTCTGAATTTAGTTAATACAAGAAAATAAATCTAAATACAAGAAGTAGCAATATGTGGATTTGTTCATTTGTAAAATATCAGCATATATAAATATTTAGTATTCTATGTGAAAAAATATATATAATGTTACCTCCAACTTAGTTTGCTGTTAATGTGGTTGGCTCTTTAGAGCAATAAAAAAATTGCTCATGTAAATATCACATTTCTTCTGGTGACAGTTTACATAAATTGTAGGCTGTATCCTTATAAGAAACTGAATACCTCATTTGCACTAACCTTCCCAAAGTGAATAGACCTTGTAAATTCTACCCTTGTTTTCTCTATATGTTAGAATATTGAGGAGCATAATTTCAAGAGCTATGAGTAATGTAAAGTACTCCTGTATGCTTAGTGTTCATGAGATTAAGAAGGATTTATGGTAATTGATAGAATGAATCAGATACTTCTTGTAAGAATCTTTTCTGGATAGTGAATGTGCATAGGCTTTGTTTTCATTCCAACAAATTCAAAAAGGAAGAGAAAGAAACACAAACAAAATTGTGAAAAATTGTGAAGAGAAAAAGCTGCTTGAGTAGGGTGACTACGATTTACAACAACATGTTGTATTTTTCAAAATAGCTAGAACACAGGAATTTAAATGTTTCCGACAAACAGAGAAATGATAAATGCTCAAGGTGATGAACGTCCTAAATTTCCTAATATCCTGACTTTATCATTACACGTATGATACATGTAATAAAATATCACATGTACCTCGAAAATATTTATAGGTATTATGAATCAATAAAAAATAACAAAAGAGAGTCTTCTTATTTTCTATATTAGTTACATCCAAGCCACTCTCTTGCTGGAACAAATATGGGGGCCGATGATGACGATGATGATGGCAGTGGTAATAGTGGAAACAGTGATGATAGGTTGCTGCAAATAAACCTCTATTAAATGACAGGTAATTATGTGTCAGGCATTGTGCCAGCAAAATTTCAGATAGTAATTCAATTTTATGCCTTAGACAACTTATTAAGTAAATGTTATTTTGCTCACTTTGCACTAAAGAGGTAGACATTCAGAGAGTTGAATAATATGTTCCTAAAATTAATGAAAAACCATTAAGGAAAATAAAAGGGGTTTAATATAATACAGAAATAATCTTTGGTATGACCCAAATTGTGATATGCTGCCTGTGGATGAAAGAAAGATGGAAATAAACGCAAATGATTGTATAATATTGCTAATAAAGCAGATTTGAAGAGAACCAAGAGAACCATTCACAAATATATATGCATAGATACTTTATTCAGGGAGTGAAAGAAAAGTGACAATGGCACAGCTGGGAGAAGCTCATGCCCAGGTGACAGACAGACACAGAACACATCAACAGAATTCTCTGATGGTTCCCAGGGAGAGAGCTGCTGCTCTTTCTTCCAAAGCTGTGGGAGCTGGAACAGCTGAGGACTTCCTTTTCTCAGACTTCATCCGGACGGTGGTGGTATGACAGTCTCAGAAAGGAAATCTTTTGCTGTCAGGGATCATAACCAGCAGATCACAGGCAAAGGGGAAAGAAGCTCCCTGTGTATCCATGGTGGGCTTTGATGAGAAGATGCAGGTGGAGCTACAGAATGAGGTGGGCCAATTATCCTCATCCTTTCATGGTCCTGATCAACACTGAAACTGTTACTTGCTCTTGGGTGGACACTTTGGCTGGCAGGGTGGGGAAGGTGGCACAGGAGGACATTTCTGCTGGCATTGCTGAGGTGGGCAGGGCTCTGGACACTTTGGTGGTGGGCAGGGCTCAGGACACTTCGGGGGTGGACATGGCTCTGGGCGCTTTGGTGTGGGGCACACAGGAGGTGGCTGGCAGGGCTGCTTACACTGCTGCTGTTGATAAGACATCCTGCTGGAGTCTCAGAATCTGAAAGAAATGATATGACAGTGTTCACGGGAAGGGATTCCTACAGAGAGAGAAGCCAAAGCTTATGTAATATCATAGCATATTATTTTCCCAATTTCCAAAAATTTATTTGAACTCTTAGCTCCCTTTTCATGACTGACTATCTTCCATTTTCCACTTTAGCAAGGTGCTTCAGCAGACCTGGGAAATCCTGCCTTTTCTCATACAATTTTTCCAAAAAAAATCTCTGTCATAAAAAACGAATCATGTGATTCCACAAAAAACATCTTCAGAAAAGGCAGTCACAAGTGCAGACACCTCAGGCAATCTCACAAGCCATTCCTATCATCATTATCTGTTGTAAAGTCCCAGCGGGTTGACAGGAACAGAGCAAAGAGCTGTTCAGGAAGAATTCAGGCCCTCACACCTGCTGAGACACAAAACTTTGAAACGGATGCCAGAAAAACATGGAAAAGAGAAAAATGCCTCATCCTTTTCTCGTCTTCTAATAAATCTTTCCTATTAACATCTCTGTCCATATGGACCTATAACTCTGCGTTTTTTTAAAAGCAATCTAAACCACTGTATCATGTTGTCAAACCCTGTGGTTCATCCACTAAGTATCATCAAACCAATGATCATAGTTTTCGATCCTCCAAACTGGCTGTATTCAGATTAAATTCAACATTACAGAACACAAAAACAGAGCAACTCAAGGAAGCAGACTCACCAGGTTCTCCAAGGCAGATTGGTGCTCAGGTACCAGGAGTTTAGGAATCGTGCAGCAGGGAACCTCTTTATAGGTCTTGCTACCCCACCCAGCAGGAAGTGGAACTGCCTAAAGCTGGGCTGCTCCAGCAATGTCCCTACTAAAATGCAAATTTATCCATAACTGGCATGAAAGGCATTCTCAAACTAGGAAATATCCTGTTCTGGGATCTCCCCACTGGATTAAGTGCTCCTAACTCATGGAGGCCCTGCCTTAGATCTCAGTTTCAGTGAGTTATAGCAAAGAGGGAATTGGGAGATTCCTTAAGTGGTGGTAAAGATCTCTCTTTCTTGACTGGGGGCAATGAATCCTTCCTCTCTTACTCCTTCCCTAAATCATAAAACTTCCTACGCTGATCCACTTTAGCCGAATGCCATATTATTGTACATGAACCCATCTCTACCTCTACTTTCCAAGTACAATTTGCGAAAGGGCTAGAAGGAAGGAGAGACCTAACAACAGCCTGAGTTCTGGCCCCAGACATTTTTTGCTAAGTTATATAACCACAGACACATCAACTCTCCTCCCAGGAGCTGTAAACCGAGGAGCATCACACTTACCTCCGGGTTTGGAGGCACTGACGGCACTGGGTCATGTTTCCCCTTTTCAAGCCTGAAATTTTCTGCTCCTCTGTCTTTCTCTCACAGAACTCCAGATTTTACCTGTATTCCTTTTCTCTTGGAAGTTGTCTTCTGCACCCCTCATAGAGGCACTTGTGTCCAGGACATATACCAGAGTGAGATCCAGTCTCCCCAGTATGTTTGCTACTGCTGCCATCAAGGATGTGTACTACAGCCTTTCTATTTATGAAAACACACTCTTAGTCGCCACATTAGGGAAACGGAGAGAAGGGAACCAAAGTTACAGGCATTCACTTTACATCTATGTATTGAACCATGCCTATATGTTTCCCTGTGAACATCCTATAGAGAACAAGATGCAAAACTCACAGTATCTTACTGTAAATAATTAGAAGAAGGTTTGCAAAGTAGAGGACAGAGCACCTAAAGTCTGAAATCTAGGGGAATATGTAAACTAAATGTGATCCTATATGTTTGCTTTCTCCACCTCTCTTTCCAAACAACTTTTAATCTTTGAAAGACAGTAGTTTTTGTTTGGTTGTATGTTCTTCCTTTGTCTTTTTGAAAAGCCTCTAGCCCCATAACTTCCTAGGTTATCAACTCACAGCTCAGTGTATGCCTCTCGTCTGTCCCTTTCAGTACACATTGTTCACTCAGCACATATGTTGTCAATGTGAATGTCTTTCACAACTTTTTAAAATTCTTTCAACAGTCAGTGGGGCTACTAACATTGTATATTAAACATTTAAAATAGTCTTTCTGGAGCATCCTTATCTGGGCCATTAATAAGGAAGCTTTCCAAGAATGTGGTTTTTTAATTGGAGAAGAAGAAGGAAGAGGAAGAAAAGGAAAAGAGGAAGAGGAGTGACTCAGATTCTTTGGAGCACTCACCAGCTATGCTCCAGATAGAGCAAGAACACTGATTCAACCCAGCATCACATCGCTCAGTTAAGCAGGCTAGGTTCCCAGAACTGCAAGTGCTCCAGTCTCTAAGGAA